TAAGTTAACACTAAATCAAGAAGACTTGAGCCTCTTGCCAAAATGAATTCCAACTTTAAAGATGTCTGTTGAATGACATGATGAACGAAAGCTCATTCTGTGCTGGCGAGGGCCTAGAGTAGATGTTTTGTGGACTGCGTCAATGTCTTCGTAAGGCCAAGAGAGCAAGCGAGACAAATTGTGATAGACAAGTAGTAATCGTGCTTACCTAGCCCTCGAATGGTGTACTCATTCAACGAGCCTTCAATCGTGTCCGAAGACGGACCTGGAAGCATGTCGCCCCAAAGAATGAGAAACTTTGTGCCCGGCAACAACTGGTCTATAAGCGCCTTTCGTCTGGCGGTAGGTGAAACCAACGCTGTGATGTCTGTTGTCTCGTCCTCCTCCGCCTGGCGTCGTTTTCTGAGCCCACCCTCCGGTTCAACAGTCTTCTCTTCTGCCAACCCGAGAACAACGATCTGTCGTTCGGACGACGTAGTCACGGTGTCCAAACTGCCCTGTCGCTGCCTGCGCTCCTGGGCCCCTTGGAGACTGGAATGTCGAGTTTCGATAACTTCTCGGCGAGGCCAAGCCATCTGGTGACGAAGGTGACGCTGTGTCTGCAAAGACGCCGATCGGCCTGTCACAGAGCTCCAGTTGGCCCGAGCTTCTGAGGTGTGCCTGGCGGCCGTTGTGAATGGGGCATCGGACAGTTGAGGCCAGTCGACCAGACTCATCTGCTTGCCACCCTCGGACACCGACGGGCCTGTAGCCTTAGTTTCGCTGTGGCCAAACCTGTCCAGCCAAGCGTCTGATGACTTTGTGGCGCCTCGTCGGACGACGTTTGGCTGGTCGCCTGACGGAGGGTCAATCGAGACTCGCCGGTAGATGACGGACCAGGTGAGGTGAATGCTCGTCTTGTAGGGCGTTGCGCGCAGATTTCTGATCTGAAATAGGTAGTACAGAGAGACAGTTCGACATACAAAAAGACAATCAGGACAAGTTGAGAAAGCAAGACGACAGAGGTTATAAATGAGAGGCATGCTTGTCGTGTAAAATGAAGGGAAAACGTCGTATAAAAAAATAAACACAACAAATAGATAGACCTATTTTTAGAATAGATTGGACGGCTAAGTGAATTGGAATGCTAAGGAACGACCAAATAGTCTTCAATAACAATATGAATCATCACATTTTATCGTCAATATTTAAAAGCAAGCTACTGAAAATTTAGAAAACTACTCAATTTTTAGACAGTAGTATAGTCTATTGTAGTGCACCATATTGACAGCTGTTATACGACTACTGCGAGCTGATGGAGCTCCAGGATGTCTTGGAAATGACACTATGACAAGAAGATGTCAATCCCAATGGAAGTGTAGTGAGGTGAAGACCAGATCGATTTTCAAAGAGGGCTGGCAATTAACAAATCCAATGGCATTGCTGAAAGTGCCAATATCAGCTCTAATCCGCTTAAAGTATATGTGCTGACTTGAGTTATAATTCAAGATTTAGTGATTACTTCGAAACCACTTGATTCGCCTAATATGA